GGTTTGCTGTTGAAAATAAAGGGGTTTTTCCCCCTACCCCCCTGGCCCCAAGGGTTTTTGTCTTTTTAACCCCCCCCCCCCCAGGGGAAAATTTTCACTTTTTTTCCCCCCCTTTACAAATCCCCCGGTTGGGCCCGGGGCCCCCCCCCCCCCCCCCGCGGCAAGTCGATGACATGTGCATTAGAGACCCCACCGTATCGGTAGTCTGAATCGACTAGGGAAAATTAGTGTACATAGAATAAACCTTCATGGCTTAATGGGAAGCTCAGAGTTTCGCTCGCTATGCGATATCGGTGATATATAAGTTACACATTGCATTAAAATCAATGACGTATCAGTGACGTATTCGTGGAGTATAATTGACGCTGAATCGGTGCCGACCATGATATGTAGTCCTGAGCAACAAAACTTGATTCAAGAAATAAAGCATTAATGATTTAAACATTTCGATAGTTACTAGTCACGTGACTCTCCATTGTCCAATTAAAAAACCAAAACTTTCTCCTTCATAAGTTTATACCCTGAAACTGTGTACTCAGAAGAGATTTAGTATTGATGCCAATCAATGTGGACTCGGTGCCGGCCATGATCGATGATTGATATGTGAAAGTGACCCCCCTTCGACCGATATGTTGGTCGGCATGTCCATGTAACTCTCTCTGTAAGGCCCCGTTCAAACGTCGATCATTTCATGTTCCGAACTTTATACCTATTTAGCTCGAACCAAACAGTACAAGTTCGACGGTTGATTAAGACGTCGAACTTAATTAGTCGGACTATTTTCACGATGTTCATTGGTCTTAAATGCTTACAAATTATTCTAGTAATTTATACATTAGGTTCGGCACTTTAGAAGTTCGACGTTTGAAACAAATTCGCTCCACAGTCGAAATTCCCATGTGGGATCTTAATTCTTGGGTCGACCCAAATTAGATATGTCGAACTTAATTGATTTAAACGTCGACCTTTTCATGTACTCAATTGAAGGGGTTAGGTCCGGTATGTGAAAAGATCGACGTTTGAACTGGGCCTAACCTGATACAGGAATCAGATTTACTTAAAAAGATAGGTTCGTAGACACATTTGTAGCTTTTAAGCTAATCTGATCTTTTTTTCTTGTTTTAATACTATTCGGGTGTTACTCCTGTAGTTCTTGTCATGTTTACAAGCTCTGCTTCTTAATTGGAGTCCAGTTTTTGTTAATGCCTAAGAAATTTAATTTGTTTTGTAGTAAACAAGGTTAACGCATAAAATACAAGTTGATTGTACGATTGACGGATGGATCAGATGATTGAGTGACTGACTGACTAACTGTGCTCCATGCCACTCTTGGGGTCCCATCTGTATGAAGGTACTGTATAATCATTATTATCATCATCATCGTCATCGTCATCATCATCATATTATTATTATTATTATTTGATCAAGCAAGTTATATAAAGGGTTTGAAAGCTGATGCGGACCTGCTACAGCAATGCACACACATCGACACACATCTAATAGGCAGGCCACAGTCCCTCAAATTGTGTGGGTTCTTAAGCCTACCACAGATTTTTCTGATGTGCACAGGGCTGTGAGACGGGGCCTACTGTTTATCATCCTTATCCGAGAAGACTAGAAACTCTAACCTTTTGCAGATATCACTACAAAGGCAGCAATTTCTCCTCAGGTCATTTAACTGAGACCTTTAGTGTTGGCACGGCAAGGGAATGAACCAGCGGCCTTCTGCTAGGCATGCGTACGTGCTGGACCAGAGAACGAGAGAACAAATCCCTTTCTCCGTGAGAAACATCAGGCAGACACGTGACAGGAATAGACACCTCATTTATTTGTCATTAGCCACAGCCGGAGCACACCATGATGACACGGGCAGCAGAAAAACAATAGTTCTCAAACGTACAGCTTACAAAGCAATGTCATAATGCCTTAGATTTCACAATGTAAAAAGTATGCCAATCAAATGAGCAAAACAACTGCAGCTTTGACAATAATGCTGCTACAGAACATAACTTTAAAAAAGTTTCAACAAGAATCAACAATATGCCTCAAATAGATATTTTAGCATTTGATAAATTCAGAATCTTCGCGACGTTTACAGGTCATGTTGCCACGGTCAATTGCCATTTTTCGTTGACAAGGAACAATAGTTTAACTTGTTGGTGTATATGGGAAATCTTGACAAGTTTCGCTTGACATGGATAAATCTTTAATAATAACAAGGATATAGTCCAGCGGATGAGTGAAAGTATTGTGCATTTTATGATAAAAGCATGAGACTTGGCACACTAATACTAAAAATCATGGGAAACATTTTAATGATTATAGGCAACCAAGATATGACCTGTGTCAGGAGGAGGGGACAGTTTTCATAATGGTCGCTGGCAATATTGTTTATACGACAACATGGATCAAATGACTGGGTAAAATGCCAAACTGATATTTTTTAGATTTAAACTTATTGAACTTACACCAAAGGTAATTAAATATGGCATCAAAATATCATTGTAAGTGTCTTGGAGAGTTTGGGCGGCTGGTCAAGGTTAAAACTATACACGTAAATTACGACTTCCTAACACTACTTTCTCAGCCTTCATTATCAGGAAAGCATCTCAAAATTGACGTTATATAATGTATTAACGTTCAATAATCAGACGCGTGGGGGCTTACACGACACATTGTTCTCTCAATCATCCATGGTCCTGACATCCACCACATTTGCACAACAATGTGTGGGACCAAAAGAGTTTATCCTCTCTTGGTAGGGCAAATTGTCTTTTACACATTTGCATCGTCCTCTGTAGCCTTTAACGCATCTACACTACGCGACAGCACAACACACTGCATCAGAAGGTGTCCACTTCACTTCTCACCGGGCAGACGCATTTTCCTGTTTCCAACTGAATTCAGGGCTTGGTAGTTTTTATGCTGCTCTGCCTTGTGGTTGGCCAAACCGAATGCCGTGGAGGGGCTTCCAACTTTCGTCTTCCGGCCTCCGCCTTCCCACTCTCTACTTTTAACTTCCAACGAATTACAACTTCCAACTCCCAGCTTCAAGCCTCTTTGTCCTCGAATAGTTTCTGTTTGTAAAAGGCCTTGAGGAGAGAAATTAGCTTGAGACCTGAATTTGAAGTTTTTATTCATGCTTACATTATTCTCTTTTGCAAAACGGATAGCAGTAGGGAAAAATAACTCAGAAGTTTTTAAGTGCTTGTATAAGGATCCTAAATGGAATTTGATACACTGAAGTAATTTCCTGTAGCACGGGGAACCATACAGGAAAGAAGAAAGCCAAGTGAGGTTTATTGAGGTTAGCCGATTTTATCTAAATCCTTTCTAATTCGTACCTTACAAAAACAATCGAATTTTCCCCATACAAATCCTTAGAATTCGAAGGTTACACAACAATGCCGATGTTCAGATAATTCGATTTTGTGCCACCTGTGCCTAGACAAGTGTCAAAATTCTGACCGCCAATAACGTAGCTTGGACATCTACAAAATTAATATTTTAATTTACCAATGGACTCCATCCATCATTTAAAATACCCGTCCGTAGCTTCACGAGGTTCTGCGATACACGTGTTTCTAGTGATTCCTTTATTTTATGTCGTTTTGTTAGT